TGCTCGCAGTATTTTCTCCTTGACCTGGGAGCTCTGGAATTTGGCTGTAATATTCCTAGGAGTTTTCATTTTGGGATCTCTTTCAGGAGGTGATTGGTGGATTCTTTCAGTTTCTATTTTGCCCTGTGGTTCTAGAATATCAGGACAATTTTCCTTGATAATTTCTTGCTTTATCTCCATTCCTATACACACATACCAGACCTTTGATTTTGCTGTGTGAGGAGATGAGGAACTCTCTCTTAATGCTGATTACTACCTGCTCAGCAACTGAGTATCTTAAAAGAGTTGCCTAGAACAGACATTTAAGGGTTATGTGATTTATCTCGAGTCACACAGCTATTCTATCAGAGGAATGACCTGAACTCAGAACTTCTTAAGGCCAGTGAGACCAGTTTTATGTTCATTTTGTCATGCTGCCTCTCATGCTAACACTACTCTGTTCAGCCATAACTAAGTCAACAACTTGTGAAACTTTATTTTTGCAGGAAGTAAGGAAACAAACATTTATTAAGCACCTACCCTGTGCTAGGTGCTGTACCAAGTGCTTTACAAGTGTAATCTCATTTGATCCTCAGAGCCCTGGAAGGGTAGGTGCTATTCTCGTTTTCATTTTACAAAGGAGGAAGCTGAGGCAAAACAGTAGCACTACCCTTTTCCTAATGAACTCCAATGGGCTTCTGGAATAGCTAGGAACATTGTTTATGTTTGTTGGTTGAGACAGTAGTAGTCACTTTCACTTGGAGAATGTTGTTCTCTAGTAGTTTTCAGTGTCCAACTCATAGTTGACCCCATTTGGGGTTTACTTGGCAAAGATAATGGAGTGGTTTGCCATTCCCTTCTCCAGCTAATTTTACAGATGGGAAAACTGAGGCAAACAGGGTTAAGTGATTTGCCCAGGGTCACACAGTTAGTAAGTGTCTGAGGTCAGATTGAAACTCAGGAAGATGAGTCTTCCTGACTCTAGACCCCGGGTCTAGGCTCTTTTTTTTGATCATGGCTTTCAGGTAGTCCAATAATTTTCAAATGATCTCCCCTGGATCTATTTTCCAAATCAGTTGTTTTTCCGGTGAGATATTTCACGCTGTCTTCTTTTTTTTATTCTTTTGGTTTTGTTTTATTGTTTCTTGATTTCTCATAAAGTCATTAGCTTCCCTTTGCTCAATTCTAATTTTTAAGGTGTTATTTTCTTCAGTGAGCTTTTGTACTTCCTTTTCCATTTGGCCTATTCTGCTATTTAAGGTATTTTCTTCAATATGTTTTTGTGTCTCCTTTACCAAGCTATTGACTTGCTTTTCGTGATTTTCATGCCTCACTCATTTCTCTTCCCATTTTTTCCTCTACCTCTCTTGATTTTCAAAATCTTTTTGAGCTCTTACATGTCCTGAGACCAATTCATATTTTTCTTGAATGCTTTTTCAATCCTGTCCAACTTTTCATGATCACATTTCGGGTTTTTTTGGGTTTTTTATTTTTGCAAAGATACTGGAGGGAGGTTACCATTTTCTTCTGTAGTTCATCTTACAGATGAGGAAACTGAGGCAAACAGGGCTAAGTGACTTGCCCAGGGTTACACAGCTAGTGAGTGTCTGTGGTCACATTTGAACTCAATCTTCCCGACTCTACGCCCAGCACTTCATCTATTTTGCCACCTAGCTGCCCCAACTGGCACATAGTAGGTGCTTATAAATGCTCATTGACTTGACTTGTATACACTTATATATGTACATGTTGTCTTCCCTAATAGAATGTAATAGAGATTATTTCATTTTTTTTGACAGTATTCATTCCCATTATCAAGCTCAGGGTCTGGCCCATTGTAGGTGCTTAATAAATGTTTATTGATTTGCCTGTTTGCCTAACACTGGCTTTTATCATTAAAAAATTAGTAAATGTGTTCTCTTCTCTGGTAGGTTTGTGTTGGGGGGAGGGAAGGGAAGAGAATCTACCTCCCCAAATCTGGTATGCCTTAAGCTATATATGGGATCTTCAAGGAGGGCTAGCACCTTTGGTGTGAGGTCCTGCAGAGCCCTTGGTGTCCCTAGTCACCTCTCACCTGTGGCTCCAAGAAGCTGCAGCATGTGCGGCAGCCACATGTTGTAAACCCCAGACAAGCTAAACCAGGTTGAGGGTAACCAGCAGGCCCAGGAGATTGTCTGCCCCAAAGCATGTAAAGACTTCCCCAGGAGAAATGGGTGGTTGAGAACAATTTAATTCCAACAGCCATGAAGGCTGCTGGAGCAGATGTTATGGAGTTCTGTTTCCAAGTGGTTGCTTCTTTAGCCACTCTTCCTAAACCCTCTCTGGGGCTGAAATTTTCAGCATAATCTCAGAGCAGTTCCCTAAAGAACACTGGCTAAGAATCAAGAGACCTGAGTTCTAGTTCTAGCTCCCTAACTTGCTAACTGTTATGATACCTTAGGTAAATTGCTTGATCTTTCTATACCTCAGTTTCCTCATCTGCAAAATGAGAGAGTTGGACCCAATAATCTCTAAGGTATTTTTCCTTGGTTAAAAGTCTGTGATTATGTTAAAAATTGTTTTAAGAAGTAATTGGGGAAAATATTATAAGAAAAAGTCTGTGATTAGACAGTATCCCATCTTGCCTAATTAGAAAAGTACCTAAATTCTTTTTTCTCTCCCTTCCTTCCCCCTCCCCAAGACAGCATACAATTTGATATAGGCTATACATGTACAATCATATTAAACATTTCCACATTGGTCATGTTGTGAAAGAAGAATCAGAGCTAAAGGGAAAAACCACAAGAAAGAAAAGAAAAAACAAAAAAAAAGAAAATACTATGCATCAATCTACATTCAGACTCCATAGTTCTTTCTGTGAATGTAGATAGCATTTTCCATCATGAGTCTCTTGGAATTGTCTTAGATCTCTTCAGTGCTGAGAAGAGCTAAGTTTAACAAAATTGGTCATTGAACAATGTTGCTGTTACTGTATACAGTATTCTGCTGGTTCTGCTCACTTCATTCCGCATCAGTTCATGCAAGTTTTTCCAGGTTTTTTTGAAATCTGCCTGCTCACCATTTCTTATGGAACAATAATATTCCATTACATTTATACACCATATCTTGTTTATCAGTCGATAGGCATTCCTTTCAATTTCTAATTCTTTGCCACCACAAAAAGATCTGCTATAAATATTTTTGTACATTTCCCATTTTTATGATCTGTTTGGGATACAGACTTAGAAGTCTTATTGCTGGATCAAAGGGTATGCATAGTTTTATAGCTCTTTGGGCATAGTTCTAAATTCTCTTCAAAATGGTTGGATCAGTTCAACTCTACCAACAATGTGTTAGTGTTCCAATTTTCCCACATCTTCTCCAACATTTATCATTTTCCTGTTTTGTCATGTTAGCCAATCTAATAGGTGTGATGTGGTACCTCAGAGTTGTTTTGATTTGCATTTCTCTAATCATTAGTGATGTAGAGCATTTTTTTGTATGACTATAGATGGCTTTAATTTTTGAGAGATACTTCTAGGGAGTTGTAAATTGTCAGTTCTTCCAAGGTAGTATGATCTAAGGAGAGGGGTTTACTCCTAACCTGACCTGTGCTCTGGTCTGTGAGTGACCACAAGCAGTCTTTTCTACCCTGGGACTGTGAGGAAGGTCCTTGCTCCACTGTGGCTGCAAGCTCTTTTGTGCTAGTGCTCCTCCTCGCACTGGGACTGCCACCCAGAATCACAGCCTGGATCTGAGTATGGACAAAGCAACAGAGACCTACCTCAGCGCTAGCAAAAAGACCCCTATAATCTTTTTCTGACTAATTGTTTGACCCCCGTACTGTCTGTGCTGAGAGTTCTGGAAGCAGCAGCTGCTGCTGCTGATCATTCAGTCACTCCCAGGGCCTGCTTCTGATTTGCTGGGGTGTATTGGCATTACCTGTGTTGAACTGTGCTTCACTGTTACCAAGGTACCGCAGACCTTTCCTGCTGACTTTCTGAGTTGTCTTTGGTGTTTGTGGGCTGAGAGTTCTGGAAACCTCCACTGCTGCCACTGATTGGATCTCCCCGAGGGCTGCTCCTGGTTTGCTGGGGCCAGTTCTATGATGTCATGGCCTTTGCTGGACTGCACTTCTCTCTAACTCTGGTGCAACAGACCTTTTCTGCCAACCTTATGACCAACCTGAGTTGTCTTGGGCTAGAAAAACTTCCACTCAGTTTTTTGTGGGTTCTGCTACTCTAGAATTTGTTTAGTTATTATTGAAATGTATTTGGAGGGATTTGGAGGAGAAGTCAGGCGAGTCCTTGCCTTTACTCTGCTATCTTGGCTCTGCCTCTGGATATTACATTTTTTTTTTTCTTACAGAATTTCTGAGGGCTGGGTCTGAGTCTGGCGGGTTATTTGAAGAGAATCCTTAGGCATGTACTTCAAAGTAGAGACTTGCAATTATGTACCTAAGAGGAAGGAACCTAGCTGCCGAAAGACTAGGCCAGGGTCACTGGCTTCAGCAGTCAACATTATGCAGGCCCTATGATGTTTATGAATAGCCCCTCTGATCCCAGAAAATTAGAGAGATAACTTCTTTAGAGGCAGCTGGTGGTATGGTTGATAGATTGCTGTGCTTGAAGTCAGGAAGAGCTGAGTTCAAATCCAGCCTCAGATGCTTGCTAGCTGTGTGACTGTGGGCAGGTCACTTTACCTCTGTTTGACTCAATTTCCTCAATTGTAAAATGAAAATAATATTAGCACCTAAATCCCAGGCATATTGTGGAGATCAAATGAAATAATATCTATAAAAAGCACTTAATACAGAGCCTGGCATATAGTAGGCACTATATAAATGTTTATTCCTTTTCCTTTTTCCTTCTTTCATCCTTTTAGGAGTGTGATTCATTTTACTAAAAAGAATCTTTCTGTCTTCTATCTACTGAACACTGTAGGTTTTTATTGACAAAGTGAAAATACAAGTTATTTTTTACTACCTATTAAAATGTTATGACATGCCATATAATGTAATTATTTTCTGTTTGTTTTTGCAGTTCTTTAGTGAAAAAATCAGTCGAGTAGAAAGAACGAAACTAGATGAAGAATTCCTAGAATTGCAAAGGGTGAGAAAAAAATTTCATGTACAAATTAGATAAGATTGACATTGACATTATGAGCCGAGAGATTTTATTTATCACCAAAACTGTCTCCTGTCACTAAAGCAAATGAGAATCCCAGGGTGTATAATGCAGAACATGGGCTACAGAACTCAGCTAGAGGTTGTCTTTTCATAATGCTGAGCCTTGGATAGGTTCCAGGCATGTAGTCCTAACATTTTGGGGCTTTCATGGTATGTAGGAATTTGGATAACTTAAAAGTGATTTGGGCTAGAGCCATGAAAATGTTTAAAAAGAAGCCAAGTGGCATGGTGGAAAAAAGAGCTAGACTTTGAGTAGAGAAGAAATGAGTTTCAGTCCTGCCTCAGGTACTATCTGTGTGGCTCAGAACTAGTCCCTTAGCCTCTCTGTGTCTCAGTTTCCTTCTCTGTAAAATTAGGAAGTTGGACTCCATCCTCTGAGTTCCTTCTATTATCCCAAAAGCATCATACAGAGAGATAGAATCTATTTGGAAAGGTTAAAATAACAGGGATTACACATTTTAGAGAGTTAAAGCTGAGAGGTTTCAAGCTATTGTTAGGTAAATGAAAAGTTATTTATTATGTAGAAAATAGTTTCTCCTCATCTTCACTGAACAAAAAGAGTTGGCTTTAAATTCTGGGATATGTGATTGATAGAGAAGTCAGGAGAGCATACTTAGTCTGCCATTGCTTATGTGACTGGGCAGATCACTTAAGGTCCTTAAATCTTAAATTCCTTGTATGTAAATTGGGAATGATAATATATGCCTTGCCTACCTCAAAAGGTTATCCTAGGAAATCAGATGAGATAATGTGTGAAAGTACCATGAAAAGCACAAAGCACTGTGTAATTGTAAGGTATTGTTATGAATATAGGTAAGATAAGACACTTCCTTCTCCCCAGCCCTTGGCTTCCCAAAGAGTTATGAAACACTAAGAGGAGATGTTAGAATCTATTTAGCTTAATGCAGGTGCAGAAGGAGCTTGATATACTTAATCGATATACTTAGTGTTTTGGCATATTTCATTCTGAGCCCAACCTCAAGATATCAAGAGTTTTTAACCTAGGGTCCATGGGATCTGTGGATACATTTCAGGGGGCCCATAAACTTTCAGCTAACCTCTAACTGAAATTAAGTATTTCCTTCAGTTTTGAATGTCATCAATAAACATTCTGAATAGGTCTCCAGAGGCTTCACTAGATTGCCTAAGAAGGGAGTGGGGGTGGGGTGGGGTGGAGGGTGGTACTTGACAGAAAAAATGTTTGAGAACTCCTACCCCTTATGCTAATATTTTTCTTGATATACCTGGAGTTGGAGGGTAGGGTTTTTCCTGGAAACATAATTTGACTCAAGGTGAGATTGCTTGCAGTTGCAGAAGTGAAATGGAAATAGGCCTTTGAAAGTTAAGTATTTAAATACAGTAATGAGGGGAGAGAAAAATAAAGAATAAAAGCAAGAAAAGAAGAATGAGGCTATGAGTACAGCCAAGATAGTGTGTCTTTTGTTTTTTGTTTTTTTTTTTTAGTATTGTTGAATTTTAGAGCCAAACCTTATTTCTAGAGGCTGGTTAATTCCTTATATATATGCATATGCTCTTTCTATATATTGGGTTGCTACCATCAGGTGACTGAAGGTGTTTGTTTAGAAGGCTTAACTCCCAAATTAAACTTACCCCAGGAATGAAAAACAGAGAATAGAATGGGACTAAAATGTGTCTTCTCAATTATACCTGATCTGTGAATAAAATACTTTAAATTTTTATAATTAAATTCTGTTTTTAAAAAACATTTAACAACATTTTTCAATTAAGAAGCATTTATTTTTCTCCCTCCTACCTTCCCCATGCCTTTGGGTAAAAAAAAAAAAAGTAAAAACAAAGCCCTTACACTTTAAGATAGTCAAAAAAGAACAAATTCACATATTGACCATGTTTAAAAATTTGTCTTGCTCTGAATATTTGGTACATCAACTGTGATGAAGTGGGTAGCATTCTTCTCTATCATCAGATGTCATGGCTGATCATTTCATTGATCAGACTTGTTCAGTGTTTCAAAGTTGTTCTTTTTATAATGATGTTGTTTTGGTGTGAATTGTTCTGGTTCCACTTACTTCACTCTGCCTCAGTTTATACAAGTCATCCCTCTCTGAAACAATCACCTTTATCATTTCTTATGGCACCAGTAGTGTTTCATTTTGTTCATATACCATAATTGTTTACTCATTCCCCAATTGATGGGCGCTCCTTAGTTTCCAGGTCTTTACCACCATAGAAGAGCTGTAATTAATATTTTTGTACATATTGGACCTTCCTTTCTGTTTTGATCTCAGTGTGGCATAGGCCTATGGTGTTAACATTGGGTCAAAGGTATACTCAGCTTAGTGACTTTTGAAATATAGATTCATGTTGCTTTCCACTACCAACAGTATATCAGTATGCCCTTTTTTTTTTCATAACACCTCCAACATTTGTAATTTGTCTTTTCTAGTCAACTTTGCTAATCTGATAGTTGTGAGGTAGTACCTCAGAATTGCTTTAATTTGCATTTCTCTATTTATTGTGGTTTAGTCATTATATCTAACTCTACATGACCCTATTTGGGGTTTTCTTGGCAAAGATACTACTTATCTTGGTGTTTAATGTGAGGTGTAGATCTAAATATAATTTCTTCCTGACTGTGTTCCAGTTTTCCCATCACTTTTTGTCAAATACTGAGGCCTTGTTCAGTTTATTGAAAATTAGGTTACTAGGTTCCTTTGCATCTGTATATTGTGTACCTGTTCTGTCCAGAGTTTGACTTTTTTATTTTTAACTAGCATCAGATTGTTTTGATGATTACTGCTTTGTAGTGTAGTTTGATTCTGGTACTGCTGGGCTGCCTTTTCACATTTTTTCACTATTTCTGTTGAGATTCCTGGCTTTTGATTTATGAAGAATTTTGTTTTTATTTTTTCTAGTTCTCTGTAGTTTTCTAGTTTGAATAGATTAGTTCTACTGAATAAGTAGAGTATTCCACTGAATAAGTAGATTAATATTTTGATTGTATTGTTATTTTTATTATATTGTAACCTAGCCTATTCATGAGCAATGAACATTTCTCCAATTATTTTTGTCTGTCATTACCATCAAGATAGTTTTATAATTTTGTAGTTTTATTCACATAGTCTATTTGTATATCTTGGCAAGTAGGCTTCTAGGTATCTTATACAATCTATAGTTATTATTATTCTCTTTTACTTCATGATTTTTTTGGGTAATATACAGAAAAAACTCATAGACAAAGTAGATTTATAAGTAAATTACATTAAATATTCAATAAACAATTCCTATATTACATAGACTGTTTCCAAAAATAAAAAGAGATCCTACCAAATATGGCCTTAATATCAAAACAGAAAAAGAAAACTAAAGACCAATGTGTCTAATGAACAGTGATATAAACAATTTTAAATTAAATAATTGCAGAGAGGGTGCAGCAGTTTATCACTATAAGAGTTATGCAGGGGTGGTTCAGTGTTAGGGAAATTCTCAAAATAACTGGACACATTAATATTGTGCGCCACAGTGACCCCAACCCAAAATAAACTCAGAGACTTCTCAAGGTGGAAAGTAAAGGTTACTTTTATTACAATCTCTTGAGATGGCTGTCTGCTCCTTCAACACGTGGAGAGAGAGGCTGGTCACGGAACAAAGGACACCCTGTATAAAAACAAGTCCCCGCCCACCACAAGTCTCCACCCACCAGTATCCCTTATCCCCCTTAACTGGGGGTGGGGCTTACATTCTAAGGGTGAAATATTTTCTTCCTATCCCCTTAACTGGGGGTAGGCCCACACTCCAGGCACAAAATTCAAAGATAAGGAAAGAGGTGGGAAGCCAAGGGCAAATGGCTCAGGTTGGGGGGCAGGACTTATTCTTTCTGTTATGTGCTTAAAAACAGGGCCTGAGCGGGGGAGGATTTTGAAAATAATAATCAAAAATTATTGACCTTTTGAGGAGGCTTCACTTCTGAGAGTTCATCTGTCATAATTTCCCCTTCTCATTTCTTACAGTTTGAAGCCTCCTCACAAACATTACACCTTACAGATACGGAGGCCCAAAAATAATGAGAAACTGTCCATTTAAAGCTTCAGAAGTCTCTTCTCATACCTCTGACACTCTGGGCATCATCTGGTGAAGTCTTCTTGTCTTAGTGCTGTTCAAATAGTGTCCTGCAGACTCACTGTCCTCCTGCAGAGATCCTCCTTCTATCCGCTCTCCTACAAGATTGATCTCAACACAATTTTAAATTACCTTGCCAATAACCAGGGCAAATAATGAAAATTAAATCAACCCCTATGTTTCTACCATTACCAGATCAAAATTGGAACTTTGTCCAATTGTCATTTTTCAGGATGCTCAAATTTAAAAAAATCAGAACCTAGTCCTACACTGTGCATTACTTCTAGTTTTATACCTTTATTATTCCTTTATTCATATTCCCCATCAGGAGGATGAGATTCCACTAAGGAATTAATAACACACTCCAATACATAGTAGTTAATTTAAAACCAGTATGTATTAAATAACAAAGCAATCCTTTCTAGTCATATACAAATAAATAATCCTTAATTAAAATAGATGCTTCTTTCAAGGCATTTACAAGATAAGCCATAAGCTATTCCTCTTTTAACATTAATTGTAACAAACGGAGATAACTTTAACATTAGCTAAGTATTAACTAAGTAACAGAATAATCCTTGTTCCATAATCTCCTGGCCTAATTATCCCCTAATGAGGGTAAGGTCCAATCGACCCCTGTCCCTTGACCCAGAAAGAATGTGGCTCCCATCTATCTAAGGGCCCCAGCTCCCCATCTTCCTTTGAAAGCCCCAGATGCCTTTCAGACTTCTTCCTTCCAGTTCCCTTCACTATCCAGTCCCACCATCCATTCAATCTCTCAGACATTCCAATCAGAATTCTCTCCTAGACCCCCTTCCCAGGCCT